CTGTGTGCCTTGGTATGAGGCATTATGTGTACTTGTGCTTTCCTTTCTGAATGAAATATACTTCTAGTGCTCCACATCTAAGAGAGAACGCATCCACATCCTGTACGTTAGTCAAGGAATGGTGTGTGATATTTCAGATGAGAACATTGATACCACCATTTTTTGTTGAAAAGGAAACTAGCAACAAGACACTGTACATGTTCCAGTGTCAGCCAAAAGGCACATTTTTGAACTGTTGTCCTTTGGCCAGACTTGAAATTAGCCAGTAAATAAACAATAAATGACACAACATGTAAATTAGAGCCGGAGAGTTTTACATTTGGACAGTTGAATAGTGTCCAGTCTGTATGCTAAGCCGGTTGCTGGATTCATCTAGGATACATATTGATCTGTAAAAAAGTTTTAATAGAATGAAAACATTTGTAAGTATAAAATAAAGGAATAAATACACTAATAGAATATTCAAAGTAATGTGGGGGAAAAACCAGACCATGGAGAAATACAAAATAACAACATAAACATGAAACACATTGTCAAGTTTGTATTTGTTTTTGTGTGTGTTAGTTATCTTTAAATACATGTTATAGTATACATTTGTTTCATACTCCATACTTGTGTAACTAGAAAATGTCATATTTCTTAAAATGTCAAACTTTTCTTTGAGTTTTTGATTAAATATAATTCTAAGTGCAAAATTGTTTAAGGAAACTAGAACAAAAATGTTTAATAAAAAACAAATGCATGAAGCTAAAAAACAAAGATGATAATAAATAAGACATTTATGATAGCAGAGTATTTAGTCAAATATATCAGACATTTTTAATGGATGAAATTACAAAATGATTGGACCCTACTTCATGCTAAATGAATAGATATTGAAGTTGATGTGACTGCTTTCATGTGCCAAATGGAAGTGTCAGTAAGCCTATTAAATACAATAGATTTCAGAAGTTCACATAAGAGAGAAATAATGAGAGTAATGCCATGCGCCCTCCTCCAGTCCTCCTCCACCTTCCCTATATGGAACCTCAGAACACCTGTTCCCAGCCAATCCACGCACAGCGAGACACTCGGCTCCTCCCACTGCAGCTGATGACGTTACCATGGGTTACAGGGTGGTGGCCAGCCCCATCTCCATCCCTCCGGTGAGGAAGACTCTCCTCCTCTCCTCCTCTCCTCCTCTCCTCCTCTGGATGCAGCACTGCAGCAGCTCTCGGTGCCACGTGAATCATCAAAAATCAGAAATAATTCAGATTACTCACGAGATCATCTTCTGAGGAATCTGCAAACACAGACAGCTGTAATGACTGTAAAACACTGCTGTGTTCATGAGTTATGGATAAGGTGGATTATAAAGTCAAATTGCAAACACACGGAGCCATCAAATATAGAAAAAGCCATTTCTAGTCATATTTATTTATAAAGTCAGAGGCATGCGGAGCGTCTTCCTGTTGGCAGGCGGGTTTCCTGTTTGTCTTTCCTCCTTACACTTCCTTTTGTATGTACAAGGAACAAATGTGGGTTAAGTGCCACTCAAACCATTCCTTTAATCCCCTTTGCAGTCAAACATCTGTAGCAAAGGATGATTTAATATTAATATGGGCTTCTTATTCTTCGTCTCATGTTGCTGCCTTGTTGTTAGTCACTGCCGACACAGTGACGTTGCTGCTTCACACCAACAAGCAGCTATAGTGTATAGAGACGTTCAGTGTCTACTTTGGGAATGGCATTGGGATTTGGTCATAATGATGGTGGCACCATAGTTAGCAGGGTTCATCCTCTTGGGACAATGAATCCTGCTAGCAATCCAGGACCATGATACAGTTGTCGAGGTATTTCAGTTTGAACTAAAGCGTTACATTGACTGACCGCCTGAATAACAAACAAGGAATCGATTGAATTAGCCCGACTCAGTCTCCTGAAAATTGTGTTCAAACACAATGACACTAATTTTTAAACGGGATTCATTTAAAAAGAAAATCTCAGAATACTTTGTTTTTCTGGATCACAAACACAGTTCGGATCAAAGTCCATTAAACACTGTGTATGGAGGAGGTCATGGTGGATAGTTGGGTCAAAGAAACACGGGACTTTCTCCATATTTTACTTTCAATACATTCATTAAGAAAGAGGCATAGGTGTGGTGTGAGTTAAGTGCCTAAATTAAGTTTGTTCAATGTAGGTTTTGCTTGTTTGCACCAAGTAAATAGTCTTCTTGGGGTTGAAAACCTTTCTTTTTGGTATGGATGCCTAACCACTATAACCCTGAACATGTGCATCAGTGTTTAGGGAGGACAACCAGAAGACGACTGAAGTGATTAGTGATTCAATATCTGTGTATTCCATCAAATCCATACATTTCTTGGTTTTGACATTCTTTTTCAAAAGATTTGCTTCGTCATCATGGTGCATGCTGATACGTTTCAATCTCTATATATATATATATATATATATATTTAATTAGCTTTATTCACATTGAGAAACTGCTTTGTACTGCCTTGCAAGAAAACTATAACCTAATCTAAAAAGCCCAGCAGAGAGTGCTACTGATCTCCCTGCAGGTCCTACATGTGTTCCTTCCTGGCCAGAGACCACTCTTTCAACTGTTTATTGGGCACGCTGCCAACTTTCCTCTATAATGATCACTTGCCCCCCCCCCCCTGTCTGTCTGTCTCTCTCTGTCTCTGAGCGGGGGGACATGTGTTTTGTGTTGTGGAACAATAGCCTTTGGGCGTGGCTGCACCTTCAACACTTTGCACTTTGCACTTTTGACATTTGGAAATCAGACTGTCTGTCTCTCCTGTAGAGATGAACACACACACACGCACACGCACACACACACACACACACACACACACACACACACACACACACACACACACACACACACACACACACACACACACACACACACACACACACACACACACACACACACACACACACACACACACCACTGGGAGAGGAAATGGTAGCAGCAAAGCCATTTGCTGCCTGCCCACCACGTTGTTATGGAAACTGAGTGGACATGAACTCACTGCTGAAATGTTTCCACGGTGCAGGACAGCTTTTGTGTGTGTGTGTGTGTGTGTGTGTGTGAGTTAGCTGTTTCTATCGGCCATTATTGATCACCATGCAGCACTGATTTATTTATACCTCACAGCCATTAAGCTCTATACTAGGGTCAACTAAAAATGGAAATATGTCCATGACAAAACACTATTTATTCAGGTACATATTCTTCAAATGACAATTTTACTGTAAGTTATATGAGCTGATGAAGTTAAATCTGCGTTTTCAGGATATAAGTAGTTGTCTTGGCCAAGGGTTGATTATGAGACAAAAGGCCCCGGCACCTCTCAAACATCCGAGCAAGACGGAAAGACTTTAAGATTGTTTTGTGTCTTTTTGTTGTTTTGATGTGTCCCTTTTGAAGTCAATACACATCTCTCTGAGTTTGTTTCAGATTTTGTTCATTTTGAGACCCTTTGTAGTTTTGTTGTGTTTCTTTGCAGGAGTTTTGAGTCTCTGCCGTCGTTGTATCTATCTGTGGTTATTTTGTGTGTCTTCGTAGTCATTTTGTAGTCACAGTTGAAGGCCAGGGTGGGGGGGCCTGACATTTTAGGTCCCTGGGCATGTGCCCGGTTGGCCCGTTCAGTAACCCATTCATGTTATTAACTTATGTTGTTGAGGGTATTTAAAGCTCATTAATATAATAAGTCCCTCGAGACATTTCCACCTCATATTTATGCTGCTTGTCTAGAGTTTTCGTAATGATATTTAATGATCCGGCTGGGATGCATTGTGATGGGCTTACAATGCCTGCTTGATGACTTGAAGGGCGTTTAAAGCGATGATACAGTGGCAGTAAGAATGACGAGCCTTGAGAACACTGTCAAGCTGTTGAAAACATGTGGTGTGCAGAGATGATAAGCCTCCAACATACTCCTAATATATATGTTTTTTAAATATGGACTAAGAACAAATAAGATAAGATGGACCATTATTTATCCCCCTAGGAAAATTCACGTGTCATGGCAGCAATGGAATAAGAAGAAACAAAGATATTACACATGGAATATACAAGGGAATACATAAATTAAAAGAAAAATAAGAAATAAAATAAGAATAAACATGTATTAACAGTATTAATAGAAATAACAAATAAGGGGAGTGTGTGTGTGATGTGACACATGCAACGTACACTCTGGCATGAATGATATCATTTGTGACAATAGGGATGTTTTCCTGTATCTAGCCACATCTGGCAGTCAGAACAACAAAATTGAGATACACTAATGTGCGTTTCTGGCCTAATGATGTAAATGTATTGATATTTACGTAGCTCGCATACTGACTGCTACAAACATACTTTCTGTGTACTGCAGCTGCAGTGTGGTGTACTGTGTGGTGGCGCAGTGTGTTACTCTGCTTTACACCAGATAGAGTCAACTGTATTAAATAAAGCATAACCTTGTGTGAGCAGACCATGATGCTGAGCAAGTGTTGAGGTTGCAAATCCGAACATGTGTATGAGTCACACTGCTTGATTTTGCAGGGGTTACAATCTATATAAGACTAAGATTGGGTAACAAGTACTTTTATGCCCCCTTTTATTTGCCGTCCCCTGCCTAATATTTGTATGTGAAAAAGGTTACTTTATCTTTTTAATTAGTTCAAATCCCAATCTACATGAATATGTAAACTGTGTATTTAGATGTTTGAATAAGATGGAACACAATGTAAAAGTGTATACATACTCTACAGTGGAATAAAACACTGCTTATTATAAACATAGATAAATATGTGGACTGTTAACAGATGGATATGATATAAACACATGAAAAAGACACTTCACAGAGCCCAGTCTTCTAACCTGTGGGATGAATCTGTCCTTGGAAACTGTCACCTGCTTTTCGCACAGTTTTCCTTCCTTGTCATTACTACATGTATCTGTTTATGACTCAGTATGTTCTACACATGTCCTGTATCATATGTGTGCTGTGGACAGGCTGGTGCTGAAGGGACAGCGCCATGATGGACAGGATGTGACTGTGGATCTTTCCATGGTGCTGATCACTTCAAACTTTCTCCCAGACACGCCCTGCTGAGACCCACAGCTGTATGACACTTAAACCATGACACAGCATTTACTGTCCCTGACAGGCAGCAGCTCTCTGATGGATTAGATGTTTATAGAACAAGTCTTTACTTTGCATAAGAAAGGATCAGATCACTCCCGGACGGGCAGATCTGGTGCATGTCTCCACACAGGCTACAGGTAATCTCTCATCGGGAAACCACCTCCTCCTTAGCCAATTGGATCTGTATTTTGACAAAGGCTGACTGGAGGTCTCTCCCTCATATGCCGACTCGCACAGGGAGGATATTGGCTGGAGGCTATAGGAGCTAATATAGACTCATGAGTAAGCAAACTGTTTGCTGATCTGTAGCGCATTTCCACACATTCAGATATTACGCAGATTTATTTCTCTCTCCAAAGTGGGAGTGTTTTCACGCAGCAGATCTTTTGTCACTGTGCGACCACCTGCGCTTGCAATCCAGCAAAAGGCGGTGGCTGTTCAGCTGAGAGAAAAAAAAAAAGGAAAAGCTGAGCATCTGAGCAGATTTACTCCCCCACAGAAACCTCACCGCCGTCACCTGCCTCACTTGCTAGACTTGCAATGTCCACCGCCGGGGAAGTACCAGCGTTTTTTAAGAGCATAGGCTCTGACAGCCCCGCCAGGCCCAGGCAGAAATTCTGTGGCATGTTCTGCCCGGTGGAGGGCTCCGCGGACAGCAAGACGCTGGACTTTGACGCGCTCCAGGCGGGCAAGGAGAGGAGTGACGGGCGGGTGATCGACCGGCAGACCGACATCTCCCAGCCCAGGAAGGTGGAGATAAGGGAGAGCACGGGGAAAGAATACCTGCAGAACCTGGATGATAAAAAGGTACATGTATCTGATATTAAAAGCTTATGTCTTGTGTTTTCATGTCTTATTTCTGTCATCCACGTTTAGATATTTGCGCTATTTTCATGCACAACCATACGAATGACACTCATTTGAGTTTGCCAGTCAACTTGCCATGACTACATTTCCCAGGAAGCAGTGTGGTTATGTAATATACTTGTAGATGGAGGGGCCCCACCATGCAGGGCTGCGGGAGGGAGTGGCTCCTGTCAATGGGGGCATGTTATCCCCTCTGCTGCACATTACAGTGATAAACTGTGGGGATGTTTATGATCTGCTGAAGTGTCCTTGGGCAAAACATCTGCTAATATCTGAATGATACCAATCAGAAGAAATGTTTACCTGGTTCTGAATGGGATTTTATTTGTGGTTGCTGCATTCTTGTGCTAGTAGTGCATTAACTTGTCAAACAGCAGGGTGTGGAGGATGATGATGTGACTTGCATGACTTGCAGGAAAATGTCAACTTTTCTGCTACATGGTTCAAACTCACCACCCAGGTTTTGCACTTGTGTGGTAAACTGTGGCACTAACACTATCAATACTTCCTTTACTTAATAACCAAGCACTCAGGATGCTGGTAAAAGCTTAGGGGTGAGCCTCATGTTACATATTGATTGGGAGCATTGGTCACACAGTACTCTTTACCTACTCCCTTTATCTATAATCTAATATCGGCTTACTTAATTTTGTAGTTTCCCCTGGGGCTCTCTAAGAAAGGAATATACATAAAGCATGCATTTATGTTTTAATAATAAGAGAGATTACAATGAAATAATGTTTAAAAGCTATTGTGCTTGGTCATCACATTAGCAGACTGCAGTGGTGGAGAGTACTCAAGTCCAAGTACATGTTTCATTGACTTGTGTTTTCTAGCTTCTGCTAATGTGTACTTCTACTTTACAATATTTAAAAAGGCAAGTCTACATGTTTTATATTAGATTGTATATTATTAACACAAATATATAATCAACAGATACATTATCATAAAAAAGGATTATGAAAATAAAACGTTATTGTTCCAATGGGATAATGTACAAGCTACCCAGCACTAGTGTATTCCCATCTGACCACATGAATGCAGCAATGATATTAATCCGGTAACATAATACAATACATTGCACTACAACGCCTCAATCTGCATGATGAGTACATTTTATACTTTAGGTGCATTTTAATATCAATTTTACTTACAATATTGAATGCATTATTTTCCCACAGTGCATAATATATTACCACTGGCAGACTGCAAAGATCTATATTTTACATTAGGGTTGAACTTTGAGAACAACTCATATACAGAGCTGTGCACCACTTTTAAAAGAGCTTGAAGCAGGACTTATGTAACGTTAACAAGTCAAGTCCTTTAAAAGAACAAACAACCCACTTTCCTCTTATAAATAACGTTGAATACATAATAAATATAAATGCTCTGTTTCAAGGCTTTTCTGCCACATTAACTGTGCGGTATGAGTGTGTAGCCATGTGTTGTGATAAGCTAACATTAGCCAACTTTCATCGGTTTACTCACTTTTTGAATCTTCTCTATCAGGATACTTCAAGTAAAAGTAGGGCCTATACAGAAGTAAATATAGTTTCACTTTGATAATACTATTAACCATGAGAAAAAATGTCTTTTTTAAATTTTTTAAATGAACTCTTGTCAATCTGTTTTTTCTTTTTATCTGGGTAATCCATCCTGTTATATACAAATAAAAAATAGGCATGTACTCTGGCTTCTGCAGTGTATGGAAGATAGTTTCTCTCAATGCAAGTCAATAGAAACACAAAGGATCATCATGATTTAAGAGATCTGGCCTTGACAGAGTGCTGCACTCTCCTAGTTTTATATTATTTTAGTTTTAACCGAACAATGGGAAAGAAAATCCCATTGTCTTCTAAAACTGCTGACCCCAAGTCAAGTGTCACTCGTGTCTTGAAACTATTTTGTTACTTTTAAAATCACCAAAAAATATGGATGAAACACGTTCATTATGTAAAGTGAGCCCTCCTTGCAAAGAGTGACATTTCATTTATTCTAATAAACTACATTTTGAAACAGCAGAAAGTAAGATGGCTACTTTCTTCAATTGGCGCAATCTTCACTAATCCCAGGAGAGCAATTGATGGCATTAGAGGCTCTTTCCTGTCAGAGGACCAGGGCGAGGCTCTGCGCATGCGCCGTGCAGTTATTTTATTGGACGAGCCTCGCACGCGGCCCCTCCCCTCCTCTACCCTCCTCTCTTGTCTGACTCCAGTCTGGGAAAGGAAAGGTTTGGTGCATCGGCGGAGAGCGGGGAGGTTGCCAGGGACAGGACACGACTCGAACCGGAGTTGAGAGATAACTTTGACTCTTTGTGTGACCTCAGAGCGAGCTTCTTCCTCCCTTTTGTCTCCACGGTCATCCTCGTTTCCACCCGGCGAGCAGCGGTAATCCGTCGCATTCATTGCGGATCAGGCGCGGCGTAGCGCAACACGAAACACCGGTGAACATGTCTGGATACCAGGGCAAGAAGAACATCCCCCGCATCACAGTGAGTGTTAGGGGCTTTAATGTTGTTTCAAACAGAGGGTTTACCCGGCTGGGGGTCCTGTGCATTTCGGCGCGGGCCTGCGGGGTGTGGGTGCAGGATGTCACCGGTGCGGCGTGCTCCCTTCACCGCGACAAACCTGAGCTCCAAGCTGCAGGATATCACCGCTAAATTAGCTTTGTATTCCTTAAATGCAATTTGCACATCGGTTTTACTTCAAAACATGCACCACTGAGATTGCATGGATCATAAATCAATAATATGCTGAAGGTGGAAGTTTTTTTTTTTTATAGCATCTTTGCGACAAGTGCAGACAATCCATCCTTAATCTGTAATAATATTAATTCCTCCAGTAGATTTACACTCACGGTGCCACTCATGGTATGCATGACTTTGAGATTTCACATTTATTTGTGTGTGGTGTTACCCGGGTATCACTGCTGCACACGAACTGGTGGGTCAAATGCTTCCCTGCATCCACTTAAACCCGGATCTTTATGTCAAGCTATCCTCGTAAATTACCATTTTCAAGAAGCTGAATGCCACATATATGTTGCTATTACATTATTTCCCCCTGGTTAAGTAGCAGAGCTGCAGGGATGGTTGTGGTGCTTCAATGGAAAGTAGAGAATAGGGAGGGGAGGGGAGGGGACGGTGGGTCCTATTTCCTTCCATGTTTCTCCTCTCAGCTGTAATGAGGAAGATGCATACAGGAAGGAGGTCACTGTCTCCATGCTGATGTTAGTCGAGTGTATGTGTAATTGGGTTGACTTGCCAAAGATGGCTCGGCACAAGCAGAGCTGAAGCAATATGGAGGACGATGTGTGGCTTATGTTCGGGCCTCTTGATGCAAATATGACACCACGCTTTTTGTAAATAGGAAGATGCATCACTACAGGAATGATGTGGTTAATATTCAGAAATATGAGAGACAGGGGGTCCTCAGGGGGCTTCCTAAGCGTTGGCTATAGTGTTAAGTAATACGGTTGGTGGGGTGTATTTAGTTTGAAAGAAAATAGTCCCCCGTGAAATTGGTTTATAACAAAGTCTGTGGATTAGCTTGAGAAACTGGGTCAGGATTATTATTATAATAATAATAATAATAATATTGTTTTGGTTGCTTGGAAAACCATACGGTATCACCTAGTCTTATTATATTGGAGAGAAAGCAGACCTCTATACGGCCAATATCTCCAACAATCTGACTCACACAATCTAGATTGATAAAAAGCACTACAGTTAAGAGGGAAACATGTGTATTTTGACTGAATGATGTCAACATTAAAAGGCCTTCGGAAAACCTTCTAATTCTCTTAATATAATTGACTATATTATGATGTGGTTGGGGCGGTGGCTGCATGCTCGGAAGGATGCGGGCCTTTTGACTAGTTTGGACCCAGGTCTTCATTCAGTCTTGTTTATAGTGTAATGTATAAGATGCCTGAACCTCCACCCATCCTGCACCAGGTGGATGTCACAGTGCAGCTATAGGGACATCGACTTTGGCACCACAGGGTCCTTTATGAACAATTGGATCATAGTTCTGAAAAGATGCATGTCAGAATCAGAAACAGGTTTATTGCCAGGTAGGTTCGCACATACTAGGAATTTGACTTGATGTCATGTGAGCGCCTGTGTGGATCTATATAGAGAGGGGTGCTGTGTTGTGGTTACCTGTAGTGATGGCCCCCTTAGTTGACTAAGTAAGCTATCTTATTTGTTGGGCGTTCCATTTTACAGCCTTAGTCTATGATGGGAAATCAGTTGGTCATTTTTAGTCAAGCAAAGAATACAACTTCTCAAAGGTGAGGATTTTCTAATGTTCTCTGTTTTTGCTATGAATGAAACATGGCAATAAAAACCTCTTGTTGTCAGTGGGGAAAACTAATCAGTACATGTTGTCTTTTTGGATAGCTTGATTATTTACAAGATGAAGGCAGTTGAAAATATAATTTTTGTATTATTATAATCTGAAACATATTTTGGGCGGTGTGTCCCCGGTGAAAACGGGCAGCCTCTCAGGAGAGAGCTCAAGGCGTCAGCAGCACCAGTGAGAGGGGAGATCAGAGGATTAGCAACGGTTGTATCTCCAACAGTGATTAGGCCAGATCTAAATGGATCCACTGCCTATTCCTGAACAACAGTGTGTGGAAGAAAAAGGGGGTCAGGGACAGAATTTAAAAGTATATGTTCTTAAAAATGGAGTGTTGCATTAGTAGAGACTCTTAATGACTTGGATTTCATTTTTTCCAGCTATTCCTCAGTAAGAATGTGTTCCTTCACTGAATTGGCGTCAGCATGAAGAGTGGATGACATTATTAAACTAAACAGATGCTAGAGAGGAAATGATGAGGTTAAATTGAATAAGAGCTGAACAGGAAAGGCTGCAGTCACACAAAGGAACTCTGTGTCTTGTCTTCCAATCACAATTACAGTTAACATCATCATT